TGTCCCCCTCTTACAATGCTGTGATTGCTAGTATCACTCAGCCCTCTGTGAATAGTAAACAGCCATCAGTGTGCTAATGATCCATTGTTATGCTGATGGTCCTTCTTGAGTATGTGATCAGCTGGTTTTGGTTGTCAGCAGCAAAACTGGTTGATCCACTCTGAGAAGGTGCTATTTAAGAGACTGAGCTGAAAACAGCACCTCAGACTGAGGAAGTCTCTCGGATGAGAGACAAAACGTTTCTACATTTTTTTGTTGTTTTACTTTGTTTTGTTTTTTTGAATGTCCAGAGGACCAGATTGAACTTTTTTGGATTTTTCTACCTGGATTATTGAGCATGCATCAGGATACTTATTGTAAAGTGTTACCAAATAATGTAACAATCTATGAATTTAAGCTTTGAACAAATTGACAGCATCCTAAAACTGCATGGTTTACTGTTGTGATTTATATTGGATATGTATCACAAATTTATGTTTAATTTAGGCCAGTAAAATATAAAGTCCAACCTGACTTTCAGACAATGATTCTGCAGTGACATTTATTTTGTAAAATTTTAGATGCAAATGTTGTCGACAGTTTTCTACATCCAGGCTTTTTTTGCACTTAACATTTACTAAAATATTGAAATGATTTCAGCCTATGAAACCCCAGATTTACAACAGAAGTCATCTCGAGGCATACGACAAAATTCCAATTCATGAAAACAATTTCAGTCTTGAATTGGAATCCAATTCCAATCAATTAGTTCCAATTATTAAACAATACAATTGCATTCAGAATTTACAGGACTCAAATTTTATAATTCAAGGAAGCCAACAGATTGTGTTGTCTTTATTTTTGTTTAAATTAAAGTTTTTTAAATTTTATTTTTGATTTTTAACATATGAACAGCAAATTAAAAAAGAACAGAAACCCCTCCCACCCCCCTCCCACAGTGGATCAGTCAAATATACATAAACAAACTAAACTAGTACTGACATGTTTTCAACATATAACATAAAAAGCTGCCAAGTGTCCCAAAATCTTTTTACAGAACTCTTCAGTGTATACCTTATTTTTTCCAAATGGATAAAATGGATATGTGTGTTTCACTTACCCGAGTGAGGTAGACACAGGACACGTGCCACGCCCTCACTGCAGCCTTTCTCCTCCAAGGGGTCTGAAACTAATCCTGAAGCTCAGGTATTACCCGTAACTATTTTCCAGAACAGCTTAGTCTAAGGCTGTGTTGAGATGATTCACCCAGACTGTTAACTATCTTCAATCCATGCACCACACCCAGAATCTCACCTCGTGTCTCGCCCAACCTAGCAGCAGGAGTGGGGACGTTGGACAGACGAGGAAGCGCACGTTCACGGTAGCTCAACTCCTAATTTAGCGTTGCAATTACTATCCGATCTGGCATTGTTTAGAATCTAGGTATAAGATTCTTGGATGTTGTTTTATAATCAAAGCTACGAAACCTTTAAAAACATCCGGTGATTTTGTTGTTACATTGAACCAAGTTTTCCTTTTCCATGAACCAGTGGGTGTTGAAATAAGAATCCAGAATTTTAAGTTTTGCTTTGCTTTAATCAATGATTTTGCAGGGGAACAGCGGTATGCACGATCCAACACAGTGATTACATTTGATTACAAAGAGAATACATAGTGATTAATACTTGGAGTTTTAGTTGTATTCCAGAGGTTGATCTTTCCTGAGCAAGGTAGTTCTCTGTTCCTGAGGAAAGCTGGAGGATAACTGTAAGCTTGTTCCGTTCAACCTCAGATATTTTCCTTCTGGCCGGCCACGCCCTAGGACGTCGTCCTGACTCACTCAAGAGCTCCAAAATCTCCACAGTCTTCTCACACCTGCCCCAATATGTTATCTCTCAACACATTAACCAACCTTTGATAGCACCAAGCAATCAAATTTAAAATATAATTGATCTTTCTGCCGGCAGCACGGTGGCGCAACTGGTAGAGCTGCTGCCTCTCAGCGAGCAGGTCCTTGGTTCAAACCCCAGTCCAGGGGCCTTTCTGGGTGGAGTTTGCATGTTCTCTCCATGCATGCGTGGGTTTTCTCCGGGTGCTCCGGTTTCCTCCCACAGACCAAAAACATGCATGTTAGGCTAATTGGTAACTCTAAATTGTCCCTAGGTGTGAGTGAGAGAGTGAATGGTTGTTTGTCTCGTTTGTCTCTATGTGGCCCTGTGATGGACTTGCGACCCGTCCAGGGTGTACCCCGCCCCTCGCACATGGGCACCGGCGACCCCCGTGACCCAAAATGGAATAAACGGGTAAAGATAATGGATGGATGGATCTTTGAGACGTCTTCTTACCATACCGTTCTGGTGGAATTCCTGAAAATTCCGGCTCAGTAAGAAGCAGATTACCTCACCCACATCTGAATGAGGCCGTCCCAGGTCCCACAGCTGTTCAGAATTTGAAGAAAAATGTTCTGGTAATGATCCGGGCTGAGGGAGGAAATAACTTCAAATGAAGCCTTTCCATCAGATCTGCCCTCGTTCTTCCTCAGCTGGAACCATCCAAGACTTGTCCTGTACATCCACACGCTACAGTGGTCCAACAGCCCAGTTTGTTAGGGCAGTCAGTATTTATGGAGTGAGGTTTTGACTGACACCTCCGAAAGACCATGCCTCCTGCCTAGTCCATCCTGTTTTGGGCTGGAGTTGACTCAGGATTTCATGCATGTCCATGGAGATAATTACCTCATACTCATAAATATTAAAATTTGTGTGTAACTTCATTCTGCCCGGTTCTTGTCCGGACTTGTCTGACTCAACTTTTGAGTTGTTTTTCTCTTTGGTTACCTTATAAGGGTCTATGTTTTGCTTGGAGCTGCTTTAAGGTTAGCCATTGTGAAACTCTCTTTCTTTGCATAATTTATCCTTGCACATTATTTCAGTAAAACACTTCTGAGAAGACAGTTCACTTTCATCTCAAATTCACAACATCATGAAATTAACAAAATACATTTTCAAAATCACAACAGATTATATCAACTTGATTATTTACTTGATTTTGTTTGTAAATCAACAATTCATTTTTATTTATCTGAAAACTGACAATTTCATTAGGAAAAAGTCTTCTTCTTTCTCCTTCACTCTCCTGCTCATTGCTTTCTCTGCCCGTGTGTGTGTCTAAGTGTAACTGCATGCATGTGTATGTGTGTTTGTGTAGTGTGTGTGAGTGTGTCTGTGTGTGTGTGTCTTTCTCCAGCATCTGTCTCTCGTTATCACAGGCCGGAGGATTAGGTACTTCCCACTGTAGTCCTGAACAAGAACATGCCCGGACATGTAACAAGAGCATGCCTGGACATGTCTGAGGGCAGACTGATTCCATTGTAGCGGGCCTTATTGACACCCCCTCCATGGAATCGGACTGTTCCCCCCAACCCACACTAACCTCTAAGCCAGTCCTTGTCCTCATCAGCTGTATCCACACTCAAGATGTCTTCTTCGTAATCCAGATCGATCGGATCCTCGTGATATGGTGCTGGGTCTTTGGTGTCACTGGGCCCCAGGCTTCGGGCCTCCTCATCAGCGGCGTTCCAGTAATCCACTATCATCAGTTCGCCAGAGTCTACCTCCTGTGAGTCGTCCAGTTGAGATACTGGATCACCGGGGTGACGTGTGTCCTCAAGCGACGGTGGAGCTGTGCCAGTGACAGGCTGAGAGGGTGGCGCCTCCACACTCATGGGAGACTCCACAGGAGTGATGGGTTCGAAGATGGGCTGCCCTTCGTTCGAATAGACCCATGCATACACCTCCGGCACTTGTTGTGGTCGTTCTTGCATCGGTTCTCGAGGGGCCGTTACTGACCCATCAGGATGAGTAGGGTCTAGATAGGTTCCATCATGGGTCATCAGGCTTGGTGGGTTGGATTCTTCAGGGCTGGTAGGATCATAAGGGGCAGTGCTTGTAGAGTCGGTCGGGCTAGGTGGACCAACTTCAGTACTCACGAAATGATCAAGGTAGGTTTCCAATTGCTACAGCTCTGGACACTCCAGGGAGAGAAGGGGTGATTCAGGAGAGGCTGCCCTCACATCCATAGGCTCGTTCTCAGGCTGAGCCCCTATAGGTGGTGGGACAGGCAAAGTAACAGTTGGTATCTGATGCTGGGTTGTCATTATCAGGGTTGGTGCCAGATGGACGTTAGGTGGGTTTTCATTCTGATTGTCACAGTTTACACTCTGTTTTTCCTTTTATTTATCACTCTGTTCA